TATATATATATATATATATATATATATATATATATACACACACACACACACACACACATATATATACACATACATACATACATACATACACACACACATACATATATTATGTACAAAGGTAATTTGTCTAATAATGCACAATCTTTCAACTTCATCAACAGTTACAACAAGAGTAGGTAGCTACACTATAGGTAGTCCAAAATAATTGAGCCTAGAATTGCTGCAGTCGTAAATTGAGATATCATATGACCAGACCTGATTTTTCAACAATTGTTCAGCAAACAACATGGTGGTTAAATGAATACATTTTCACCAATAGGCATTTTTTTTCCCCAGAAGCCAAAAGTAAATGCCAGAAACCAGCAAAATCATTACAAATAACGTAATTGCGGAATGCTTGAAACAACCATTACAGTGAACCACCAAGTACCCAAAACAGGATCATGTGTGCATGGTGTATGAGTGTGCACAAATGTATATGTGCAGCCACGGTAACTTTGAAAAAAGTTCATAAGTAGCTTTTGCAGGACCAGCATAAGTGCAAATGACTGTTAAGCAACAAGTTGTAAGTGAAAGTAATAGCATCTTTCATACTAAATTAATATTAAGACTAATTTTTGGTTTAGAAAATTACAATCTATTAGGTTAAAAAAGGGAAATATATAAATGAAAAAAAGAAGCAAATGAGATTTTTTTTGTGATGAAAAGAAGAAATGTCTCATTTATGCTGATATTCTTTGCTTGCCTAGAAGATTGGAGCAATTGCTTATTTCTCCTTTGTGACACCTGAGGCCACTCTGACAACGACAACAGTTTTAAAAATGAACCCACCTATTCTCAAATGGCAAATTCAGAAGCATAAATTCTACTCACCTCCTCCATGCATCTGGCATAAATAAGGAAACCGCCAAACATTTCCAAGACCTACTGCATAAGAAATACAGGCAAATATAAACTGGAAATGATTGTCCCACAAAGGTCTGGATTTATCCATTTCTGCTCTTACGCACTAGCAACAGTCGAATGTGTCTGGCTTCACTCTCCAAATACTCATCAAAGCCTGTTGGTGACACAGTGCCAACTCAACTCTGAAGAGAGTCCTCTTGCCAATTGCCATTCAAGATTTTTAATTACTAATCTTATTAACAGCACTTTGTGAAGTAGGAATGCTGGTTAGATAAATAAAGAAGAAAACAAATAGTAATCTAGGTATTTCAGACAAATTATTTAGATTTCAATTGCATTTCTGGGAAAGATCTGAAATGTGATGGTTTAGTTTGCTCTTACGCTAGATTTTTGCCAAAAAAGATTTGAAGTTACAATATTACATTATAACAACTATATGTAGTTCTGGAAACTATTTCTACTTGTCAGCAACTCCCATTTAATTATTCACAGAGGAAAACATATAGCCCAGTAGGAGCTTGAGTTAATGCTTTTGTTACCTCACAATAAAGACCTGGGCTGCAAATATCCAGATGACCACTAGAGGGAAACAAAATAATCCAGAAAGCTGTAATCCTTTGATGCTGTCAAGTGACCTACTACATTTAATTTAGTGATTTAGATTTTGTAGCCCTGCTTTACAAATATTTTATTTAATTTGTCAATTAATTTACTAAAGGAGATTGGGAAAGGTTTTTCTGACATATCTAAAACATTTTTTCACGACTTTGTGTAAGAAAAGTTTAACACAGTAGGCACAAGGTGAACTTAAAATATGTCTTGTTTTCCAATAATCATACAAAAATCCTAAACTAGCAAAAGCTATGCTTTCCAAAAAGTATAGGCCTGACTTTTAACAGTTTAAATCATTTCTGATCTTAAGCATAGGCTAACTGGAATTTCTTAGTCCCGTATTTATTTTGTATATANCGGTATATAAGTCTACTGCTATTGCTATTGCTTCACCAGCCACCTATTTTGCTTACTCTCTAAAAATGTGTCTATTTGCAACCAGCAACATACTTGAAAATAAAGAGGATACTTATGGACATTTATTTTGTAACACACTAGCTTCCATTTTATTTATTTTTTAATTAAAATAATTTTAAGAAATAAACTAAGGTAGGAAACAGAATTTGTCTGGCCCAGGACTTAAAGAAATGATATCTACGGCAATTCTAAGTCATCCAGGTCATGGTTATCCCAAAGGTGATTTTTCAAGAGGCAATCTGGTTTTTCTTTGAAGACGTTTCACTTCTCATCCAAGAAGCTTCTTCAGTTCTGACTGGGTGTTGGGGAATGGAAGGATTTATACTCTTTGCAGGCAGCTAGTCATTTGCATTTTAGTGAGTCGTTAAGACCCCTGGAGGTCTATCTATGTCATCAGGGTCACCTGAATGATGCAAATGGATGTGGAGCCTTCTTGGAACTGTTGAAAGGATTGTGTTGTAGACTAGAGACAGATGATGTAGTATCCCTTCCCCCCTGTTGAGAAAGGACTGTTCAGTTTTGACACAGATGGCTTCTTTGACTCCTCTTTCAAACCAGCAGTCCTCTCTGTCCAAAATGTGGCATTTGCTGTCTTCAAAAGAGTGGCCTGTGTGTTTTAAATGCCGATGGACTGATGAATGTTTTCCGGATGGGTTTGTTTTCCCATGCTATGCCATGCATTTATGAAGTAATTATTTTGTTTCCTCAATGTACAGATCTGCACATGGCTTACTGCATTGTACTGCATATACTACATTGCTTAGTTTGTGTCTGGGTGTTGTATCCTTGGGGTAGACTTGGGGTGGAGGGGAAAATAGGACTGTAAAATTAAATAAAAAGTTCCCACTATTTTCAATACACTGCAAATTTACTGCAGTATGTCTTCTTGTTTTGTGTCCATGTATGTATGTATGTATGTATGTATGTATGTATGTATGTATGTATGTATGTATGTGTATATATATATA